GAATTTTTGAACTTTGAAATTCCATATTTCTTTCATATCTAGAAATAAATTTAAGATTAAGGTAATAAAGCATTGGCTACTTAATCCAATGTTTAATGTTTCTCATCTTAACAGGCATAAACATAAAACATTTTTCATGCTAAAATGTAAAAAATAACCACTAAACACATTATTTTACACTTTTACATTTTTGTAGTAATACATTATATATATTATAATATATCTCTCTGTAATATAATAAATAATCTCACATCTCAAGATTAACTTTTTAAATATACATATTTAAATATATATAAGAATATGTAAGAATGAAAATATATACATATTTAAATATTTAATAAGAATATGAACATATTTAAATAAGAATAAATATATATTATTTATATATTTAACTACATATTTTAAAGATTACATTATTATTAATTATATACATAATTCTTATATAAGATTAACATTTAATATATAAATATATTTAATAATATATGATTCTTAACCTTTCTATGATTAATATTTTATGATTCTTAACTTTTAAAATATATAAATATGTAAAAATTAAATATATATTATTTTTAAATTTTAAAAATTAATATATTTAAAAAGAATAATATAAATATATATATTTATATACATGAAAAGTTAAAATACTATAATCTATAAAATATATAGTTAAGATAATATAATCTATAAAATATATAAATATATATTTATATACATTAAAAGTTAAGATAATATAATCTATAAAATATATAGTTAAGATAATATAATCTATAAAATATATAAATATATAGTAATATAAATGTAAAGATTATAATAGATAATATAATCTACAAAATATATAAATTATATTACTTATTATTTAATATATATATTATGTAATATATATAAGTAATATATTACATATATACATATTTGAATATTTAAGAATAAGGGTATACATATTTAAATATATTAAATTATTTAAAATATTAAATATATTAAATTCTTATTTATGTGTTAATAACTATATATTATTTAACTATAATAAAATATAGTTAAATGTATAATATATAAAATATATAATATAATATATATAAAATATATATATTATTTATATATTATTTAATAATATATATTATTTACATATTTAACTATATATTTTATAGATTATATTATCCATTATTATATACATAAGTCTTATATAATTCTTAACTTTTAATATATAAATATATTTAATAATCTTTTATATGATTCTTAACTTTATGTATATTTATATTTTTTTAAATATACTTTATATATTTAAATATATATTTATTAAAAGTTAAGAATCTTATATATATGATTATATATATAAAGTCAAGAATCTTGAGATGTGAAATTATCTTTGATCATCCAGGCAGGGTCAACCTAATCACATAAGTCCTTAAAAGTGGAAGAGGAAGGCTTAAAGAAGGTGTGAGGGAGATGAGATGAAAGAAGAGACATGCTGGAGAGGATGTGGAGAAAAAGGAACACTTTTACACTGTTGGTGGGAGTGTAAATTAGTTCAACCATTGTGGAAGACAGTGTGGCGATTCCTCAAGGCCTTAGAAATAGAAATTCCATTTGACCCAGCAATCCCATTACTGGGTATATATCCAAAAGACTATAAATCGTTCTACTATAAGGACACATGTACACGAATGTTCATTGCAGCACTGTTTACAATAGCAAAGACCTGGAATCAACCCAAATGCCCATTGATAATAGACTGGATTGGAAAAATGTGGCACATATACACCATGGAATATTATGCAGCAATCAGAAATGATGAGTTTGTGTCGTTTGTAGGGACATGGATGAATCTGGAGAACATCATCCTCAGCAAACTGACACAAGAACAGAAAATGAAACACTGCATATCCTCACTCATAGGTGGGTGATGAAAAATGAGAACACATGGACACAGAAAGGGGAGTACTAAACACTGGGGTCTATTGGGGGGAAAAGGGGAGGGCCAGTGGGAGGGGGAGGTGGGGAGGGATAGCCTGGGTAGAAATGCCAAATGTGGGTGAAGGGGAGAAGAAAAGCAAAGCACACTGCCATGTGTGTACCTACGCAACTGTCTTGCATGCTCTGCTCATGTACCCCAACACCTAAAATCCAATAAAAAATTTAAAAAATAAAATAAAAAAAAAAGAAAAAAGAAAGAAGAGACAAGAGACTCAGAGGAGAGACGTGTGATTCACTGCTGCTGGTTTTGAAAACAGACAGAGGCCATGAGCCAAGGAATGCAATCAGCCACCAGAAACTCAGCTGTCAACCATTAAGGTAACAGGGCTCTGAATCCTATAACTACAAGAACTGAATTCTGTCAACAACCCAAATGAACAGGGAAACAGATACTTCCCTGGAGCATGCAGAAAGAAATGCAGACCTCCTGTTAACACCTTGATTTTGGTCCAGTGAGACCCATGTCAGATTTTTTGGCCTACAGAACTGTAAGATTATAAATCCATGCTAAGCCACTAACGTTGTGGTAACTTATTATGACTGCAATGGAAAACTAATACAATATATTAATTCAGTCTTTCATTTATAAGAAATAGGGGGAAAACTAGGGGTGGGAAGGTAGAAGAGGAAAAAAATTAACTTTATGAAATATCAGAATTCTTAGAAAATCTTAAAAATGCTTTGTATATGTTTTAGAATCATGAAAGGAAAAAACAGTATCACCATATTCTGTAGTTAGCCTGGGAAAAGACACATTGGTTAGAAACCAGTGGCAGCAACAGAAAGGAAGTAGATGGCCAATGAGTAAGAAGTTTGCTCACACAGGCTACTGCTTTTTTTGTACACCTTCAAAGGTATTACTTTGCCCATCACCTGCACTTTCTGAAGCCAAAAACTGAGAAAGTTGGGGGAAGAGGATGGAAAAAGGAAAATCCCCACTCTTAACACTTACTACATTCATTATAGAAAGATTGTTCTTGTTAAGGCCCCCAAGGACAATCCTGGAATTATTTTAACAAGTCTCTGTGTACACAACACTTTGTATAAACAAAACATATGGAATTGCCAATAGATTTTCTTCTTTTAAAAAAGTGCTGTTTAATGAAACACTGAAGGACAATCATGCTTTTAAAAATAAATGATCAGTTGGGCGCGGTGGCTCACGCCTGTAATTCCAGCACTTTGGGGGACCGAGGCAGGCAGATCATGAGGTCAGGAGATTGATACCATTCTGCTCAACATGGTGAAACTCCACTTCTACTATAAATACAAAAATTAGTTGGGCGTGATGGGGTGTGCCTGTAGTCCCAGCTACTCGGGAGGCTGAGGCAGGAGAATTGCTTGAACCTGAGAGGCGGAGGTGGCAGTGAGCAGAGATCATGCCACTGCACTCCAGCCTGGCAACAGAGTTAGACTCGGTCTCAAGAATAAATAAATAAATAAAAATGGTCAACTCTTAGCTTCAAGAGATTGTTTACAGCAATTCAGTGTAACCTTTGTTAGGTTACAGATAAAATGAAGTACAAGTCAAAGGTTTAAGTATTTAAGCCAGGGTATTTCTTTTTATATTCTTAAGTCTTTTTATATTCTTAAGTCAATATAAGCTCTGCTTTGCGAAAAAGACTATTCGTGTTGTATTTCTCATTTGCAGCTAAATATTAGATTATGTGATTAGAATATTAGAATGTGTGATTAGATTCTAGCTAGAAGCATGAAAGTCGAAATAATGTGTGCAATATTGAAGAAAGGTTCTTTCCCTTCTGCTTGGCTGAAAACTAGACATGAAAGCTTGATCACCAATTGCTGTCTTGGATCGTATGGTGATTTTTTTTTGAAACAGAGTCTTGTTCTGTTGTCAGGCTGGAGTGCAATGGTACAGTCTCAGCTCACTGCAACCTCTGTCTCCCAGGTTCATGTGATTCTCCTGCCTCAGCCTTCCAAGTAGCTGGGATTACAAGTGCCCGCCACCAGGCCCGGCTAATTTTTTGTATTTTTAGTAGAGGTGGGGGTTTCACTGTGTTGGCCAGGCTGGTCTCTAACTCCTGACCTCATGATCTGCCAGCCTCAGCCTCCCAAAGTGCTGGAATTACAGCATGAGCCACTATGCCTGGTAAGTATGGTGATTTTTAATGGAAATCTTACAATCGTGAAACAATATAGAAGAAACTTGAATTTCTCACAACGTGAAACACCTGCCCTACACTGAGTTCCCACAAGGAACATCTATTAGCCCTATAGTGAGTAGCTCTGCACTTCTTGACTATGCGGGAGAAATACATTTCTATATTATTTATCTCTGTTATTTTGAATTTCCTTGTTTCTTCCTGTTGAATCCATTCTATTTTTTTTTTCACTTTTTTTCTTCTTAAATTTATACCAACAAGAATGAGCTTGAAGAACTTATCCTATTTTAATATATAACATATTATCTTATTCTGGTTACTGGGAATTAGCTATAAATTAAATTTTCCCTACTGTCTATATAGAACACCTAATGCTTTTTTGTTGTTGCTGTTTTTTTTTTTTGTTATTGTTGTTTTGAGATGGAGTTTCTCTCTTGTTGCCCAGGCTGGAATGAAATGGCGTCGCCTCAGCCCACTGCAACCTTAGCTTCCGAGGTTCAAGCAATTCTCCTGCCTCAGCCTCTTGAGTAGCTAAGATTACAGGCATATGCGACCATATCTGGCTAATTTTGTATTTTTAATAGAGATGGGGTTTCTCCATGTTGGTCAGGCTGGTCTTGAACTCCTGACCTCAGATGATCCACCTGCCTTGGTCTCCCAAAATGCTGAGATTACAGGCATTAGCCACTGCGCCTGGCCTACCTAATGCTTTTTATTGGAGGAGTATTAGAAAACAATATTTAAAACCATATTTGTTTCTGGATTAGTGATGACTGTACCATATGCTAAAAATATACTAATTGAATTGTACACTTTTGTAATGTGTTAATTTTATGGTATGTGAATTATATCTCAATAAAGCTGTCATTTTAAAAATATGTTAAAATGAATCATTCAAAAATCTTTATAATATTTAAATATTTTTAATTAAGCTTTGAATTTAATTGAAACTACCATTTCAATGGGATATGAGAATCATTTATTAAACATATTTCTGAAATATACAACTTTAATGTCAATCCAGATGCTTTAACTTGTGCCTATTCTGATATCCCCCTTTACATTTGCTTCTATCTTATTATTATTCATTTCCAGATTCAGGTTTTCCATTACTTTGAAGAGCATTTTATCATCTTTTTTATCTCCTGAAGCAGCCCTTTTGTTGAGAGCTTCTTCTGCTACAATAAAAAACTGTTCTGTTGGCTGAAGAATGCTTACTCCATAGCCTTTGTTGCTATAAATATGATTACTAGTCATCTTCAATTTGGGTGCTGGAAGAACCTGTTAAATTATTTGAGGAAATTCATTTTTCAATAATTTTATTTTAAAAATGAAGTAATGAACATATAAAAAATAGTTTTGACTTTATTCTTAGATTAACAGATTTCTTCAAACAGCCAAGACTCTCAATTTTGAATAAGTGTTAAGTGCTATTTTCATGGCACTATCTAATGTATTATTAACTACAAAATTAATAAGAAAATATTAAATGAAGTTTTCAATTAACTTTTATCAGTTATTGATAGAAACAACTAATTCTGGGTCAGCTTCATGGGGAGATAGCCCATGAAGCTGACCTCTTATAACATAATAAACATGAAAATAAATAATTTCAGATAATATGTGATTTGGAGAAAATAAGGTAATGTGATAACATGACTGGGTGGGGAGAGGTTAGAACTAGAGTGTTCTTTTTAAGGGCTTCTTTGAAGAGGGACAATCATATTCAGATAGTAATCAGAAGATCTATAGAAAGAGTGCTTCATGTGAAGGTAATAGCCAAAACAAGGTTAATAATTTCTGGGAATATAAAGAAAGCCACTGTGGCTTGAATAAACCATGTTTATCAACCATGTTTATCAAATTTTAATTTAAGTATAAATCATCTGGGGAGCTTATTAAAGACCACAGTTTGTTCAAGAGGTCTGGTGTGAGGCAGTTCTAGCAAACTACCAGGTGATGCCAATGCTGCTGGTCCATGCCTCACACTTTGTGTAGCAGGAATATGACTTTTTTTTTTTTTTGAGATGGAGTCTCACTCTGTCACCCAGGCTGGAGTACAGTGACACAATCTCGGCTCACCGCAACCTCCGCCTCCTGGGTTCAAGCAATTCCCCTGCGTCAGCCTCCCAAGTAGCTGGGACTACAGGCGCGTACCACCATGCCCAGCTAATTTTTTTATTTTTAGTAGAGACGGGGTTTCTCCTTGTTGACCAGGATGGTCTCGATCTCTTGACCTCATGATCCACCCACCTCGGCCTCCCAAAGTGCTGGGATTATAGGCGTGAGCCACCGTGCCCAGCCTGGAATATGATTCTTAAAGTGTGAGTTCAACTGGCAGTATCAGCATCACCTAATTCTCAGGCTCTACCCTAGACCCACTGAACAAATTCTCAGGCTTTACCCTAGACCCACTGAATCAGAAAGCAGAATGGGCCTCTGTAACAATGATTCTCATGCATGCTAATGTTCAAGGGCCACTGAAAAACTGAAAAATATTTAAGAACAGAAAAAATGTTTTAAGATAAATCAAAGATTTTAAAACTGCTCCCATTCACCATTTGTACCTTATTTTCAACCAATTATCTGACTTAGTGTCCAGAATCATACAGGGAGTGGGAGACTACTAATAATATACAATACAATTCCTGCCCTTAGGTAATTTATAATCTATTTGAGAAGATAAAATGTACATTCACAAAACAAAGAATTAGAATGTTCTAGAAAAAAAACTTCATTAACATGAAAGTTCATTAACTACACAAGCTTAGAAAGGGACTTTGAAAGTTAGGATTTGGCCAGGTGTGGTGGCTCACACCTGTAATCCAAGCACTTTGGAGGCCAAGGTGGGCAGATCACCTGAGGTCGGGAGTCAAGACCAGCCTGACCAACATGGTGAAACCCCATCTTTAAAAAAAAAGAAAGTTAGGATTTATAGAAGCAGAAAGGAATTAAAAGACATTTCACCTAGAAATTATTGCTATTAATGTTTTAATTGGTTAGCTTAAATCATTTAACACAACTTTGAAAGTAAGACTTCAAATGCTCCTTAATATATTATTCTTAATTTGCTTTACTTGTTAAAGTAATTTGTAATACCAAAATGTATTACATATCTGATCAATGAAAACTCTAAAATGTCTTCAAGAGAAAAATCTATACAATTTATCACATTCAAGGTTATTTGCAAAGAATTTAAGTACCAATTATAAAATTATATGGCTAAACTTATTTCCTATCAGCCATCATTTGACCATATTTTATTACTTGTACTATTCTTTTCAAAATCAATGATGATATTTAGAATACCTTTTAAGACTAAAACTAATATTTTAGTACTTATAATTAGTTACAATTCATATAACAATTCTACATCAAGAAATAAGAGAATACCTTCATATTAACTCCACCTAAGGTGCTTTTTGAACTGTCACTGGTTCTGAGGTTATTGCAGTGATGAATTTCATTTCTTTCCAAAATAGCTGTGCTTCCAGGATACAGTTCAACACCAGCACCCTGTAAATTAAAAGCAAATTAAACTATCTACAAAATAGATACAAAAACCCTCTCCAAAATCTTTAGACTTGAAAATTGTAATTATGTATTAGCAATGTAAACATTACATGAAAACACATGATAATGCATGCAACTGTTAATTGTAAACATAATACTTAAAAATATTGAAATGTAAATATCTGTTAGAGCATCATCAAACTTAGAAGGTCGAGGTCAGATAATCCATTACCTTATTCTGCCACCCAAATGATTTTCGACAAGGGAGTCCAAAACCTCTTTAAGCAAATGGAAAAATTTACTTCTGCTATAAATCCCATGTAATGTCACTAGAGTATTTCCTCATTTTAGTGGAAATTTTAAAAATTCTTTTAAAAGGTGCTCTTGTTTTCTATTTCCTTTCATCTTTTTTCTCATACAATTCTCCAGTCCTTTAATAATCTTTGTGATTGTTATCTAAAGACTCAGCTTTTAATTTTTATTTATTTATTGTAAAAGACAAGGTCTTACTGGGTTGCCCAGGCTGCTCTCAAACTCCTAGGCTCAAGCGATCCTCCCACCTCAGCTCCCAAACTGCTGGGATTACAGGAATGAGCCACTGTGCCTGGCTTCAAGTTTTTAATGTCCTGATTATTCAGAAGCTGTCTCAGAGAACTAATCATAACACCTAACATCAATGTCTGATAACTTACATGTCTTATGTCTTTAAAAATAAACTATCAAATAACTGGCTCATGATTTCTGGTATAGCTACTCTTTTCCAGATTTTTTTTTTTTAAAAATCACGCTTATAAAACAAAGCTAAATATTCTTTACTTTGGACCTAACATTTCATTTTTCCTAAAGGTACTATGACACTCTTGTACTCATTTTGTTGATGTCTACCAGGTACTAAGTTTAATTAGAATTCCACTAAAAGATGAAGAAATTGCTACCCTTTTTTTGTATATTCAAATCACTCAAAGTTGTTATCTATAGTCATATAAAGCCATACTTTTTAAAGAATGAAATACCTGGGCACCAGTTATTTCACTGTCTGTAATTGTCAAAGCAGCCCCTGTAAGAACACACACTCCTGTTCCTTCACATTTTAATATGCAGTTTTCTAGAGTCATGTGACCAGACTCCACCACCACGATACCATCAACCGTCCCTTGTTGTATCAAAGATAGATGCATTAGTTTCACATTGTCAGCTTTGGATACCACAAAACTGTCATGAGAAGGTTCAGAAGTAATTATAATTTCCTTTCTCTCTCCAACTCCTGATTCATAGGGATAAAAATACATTAAATCAGTAATCTCCCATTTTAAAGCCCTTTAGTCATTCAACAATACTTGCTATTACTAAAGTTTTTCCTTTTGTGTGTGTGTGTGCATTTTTTTTTTAAATGTGGTTTCACTCTTGTTGCCCAGGCTGAAGTACAATGGTGCCATCTCAGCTTACCGCAACCTCTGCCTCCCGGGTTCAAGCAATTCTCCTACCTCAGCCTCCCGAGTAGCTGGGATTCCATGCATGTGCCACCATGCCCAGGTAATTTTGAATTTTAATGAGATGGGGTTTCTCCATGTTGGTCAGGCTGGTCTCTAACTCCCAACCTCAGGTATCTGCCCACCTCAGCCTCCCAAAGTGCTGGGATTACAGGAGTGAGCCACCATGTCTGGTCAGTGTGTGTGCATTTTTAGAGATGGGTCTTGCTATATTGCCCAGGCTATTCTCAAACTCCTGGGCTCAAGTGATCCTCCTACCCCCGCCTCCTGAATAAGCTGGGACTACAGGTACATAGCACAGTGCCCCGTTTCACATATTTTTCACAAATAATATAAAGTAGATACATAACTATAGTGTAATCTTTTTCTTTTTTTTTTTTGAGATGATCTTGCTCTGTCACCCAGACTGGAATGCTGTGACTCGATCATGGCTCACTGAAACCTCAGCTCAAGTGATTGTCCTACCTCAGCCTTACAAGTAACTGGGACTACAAGTGTGTGCCATCACATCCAGCTAATTTATGAATTTTTTGCAGAGATGGGGTTTCACTATGTTGTCCAGGCTGGTCTCAAACTCCTGGGCTCTAAGCAATCCACCTGCCTCAGCCTCTGAAAGTGCTGGGATTATAGGCTATAGGCATCATGTCTAGCCTTTGTTGTTGTTGGTTAGACCATGAGAATACTCTTACTTCAAAGTCAAAAAGCCAGAAAGTTTCTAAATATGTTCAAGACCTAAAAGAAATATAGTCAATTCTGTGTTTCTACTTCTGTTTTGGTGAGTTAGTATGTGATATTAGCCCTTTTGAGAAAATAATGAGCATATTTTAATATAGCTTTACATCTGGGTTTTCTTAGTAAAGTGATATAAAAAGCAGTAAAGATAGATAAGAAAAAAGTGGTTTTGGTAAAAGTATAAATGGAGCTAACAGAAAATATGATGAACATGTCTTAATTATAAAAGGGACATAAAGGATTTTTGTAAAACATAAATTCTATTGTAATTTCTAATAATTCCATGAAGCATGTTTAGAATACCCAATTTGTGCAGTATACATTGTTATTAAAAAAACTACAAAGAATGTCCTGGCTAACCTTTTATAATAATGTCATCTGTCAACAAAGCAAGATTTGCAGCTTGATATACTCCTGGAAAAATTATTACTGTATCTCCACTATAACAATTATCCAAAGCCAAATCCAAATCATCATGCTGTTGGAGAAGTGTGTCTGAAGATAAATCCTTTACCTAAAAACAAATAAAACACTTGCATTTTCAATAGGTTAAACTGAAACATGTCATTTAATCCTCACAAAAGACTTATCATTTATTAAAGACTAGCATTTATTAAATGCTCAAAGTATCAGTTCCTCGATTAATGTTGGAATAAAATTTTTCTTTATAATTGTTCATAATTTTATAACTATTAAATACTGGGTATTAGCTATGTGTCATATTTTGAACTTTACATATTACCTCCTTAAGCCTTGCAATAGTTCCTTGACATAAGTATTATTATCCTTGCTGTAAGGTTAAGGAAATTGAAGCTTGACAAGATTAAATGAATTGTCAAAATTAGTAGTGAAGCCAAGCTTTAGATCCGGGTCAATATGATACCAGACCTCATGCTCTGCCCTATGTATCCCTTCGTTTTCTTTAACTCAAAATGACTCTCCAATTTTAGTTAATCAACAAAATTCTTTTTTTTTTTTTTAAAGCAGAGTTTCACTCTTGTCACCCAGGCTGGTGCTCGATCTCAGTTCACTGCAACCTCTGTCTCCTAGGTTCAAGCGATTCTCCTGCCTCAGCCTCCTGAGTAGTTGGGATTACAGGCACCCGCAACCCCGCCTGGCTAATTTTTGTATTTTTAGTAGAGATGGGGTTCCGCCATGTTAGCCAAGCTGGTCTCAAACTCCTGACCTCAGGTGATCCACCTGCCTCGGCCTCCCAAAGTGCTGGGATTACAGGTATGAGCCACCACGCATGGCCCCCAAATCAACAAAATTCTATATATCAAAGATTCTAGAATATGCATTGGGAGTAGAAAGGAGGAGATAACTTCATTTTTAGTGTCATAAAGACTGAAGGGCTTTTATTTATTTATTTTGAGACAGGGTCTAATTCTGTCACCCAAGCGGAGTGCAGTGGCATGATTATGGCTCACTGCAGCCTCCACCTCCCAGGCTCAAGCGATTCTCCCACCTTAGCCTCCTGAGTAGCTGGGACTATAGGCACACATTGCCCTGCCTGGATAATTTTTATATTTTTTGTAGAGGTAGGATTTTGCTATATTGTACAGGCTGGTCTCAAACTCCTGAGCTCAAGCGATCGCCCACCTCAGCCTCCCAAAGTGCTGGAATTACAGGTGGTAGCCACCATGCCCAGCAGTGTGAAGGACTTTTAAAATATAAATCCAAATATAAAATTTGGAAATATATTCTGAAAAATGCCTATTATACTTTGATTCCAATGAGAATGGCATTATCATGCATTTATCTTTCTTCTTATTATTATTACTATTATTATGATTTTGAGATGGAGTCTTGCTCTGTTGCCTAGGCTGGGGTACAATGGCACAATCATGGCTCACTGCAACCTCCTAGGTTCAAATGATTCTTCTGCCTCAGCCTCCCAAGGAGCTGGGACCACAGGCACAGGCCACCACATCCAGTTAACTTTTGTATTTTTAGCAGAGACAGGGTTTCACCATGTTGGCCAGGAGGCTGGTCTCGAACTCCCGACCTCAGGTGATCCACCCACCTTGGCCTCCCAAAGTGTTGGTATTACAGGCGTGAGCCACCACGCTTGGCTGTATCACTTTTTAATAAGAAAATAAGGCTGGGTGCAGTGGCTCACGCCTGTAATCCCAGCATTTTGGGAGGTTGAGGCAGGCCACTCACTTGAGGTCAGGAATCCAAGACTATGCTGACCAACATGGAGAAACCCCATCCCTACTAAAAATACAAAATTAACTAGGTGTGGTGGCCCATGTCTATAATCCCAACTACTCAGGAGGCTGAGACAGGAGAATCACTTGAACTCAGGAAGTGGAGGTTTCAGTGAGCTGAGATTGCACTTCAGCCTGGGCAACAAGAGCAAAACCCTATATCAAAAAACAAAAAAAACAAAAAAATGGCACTTGTTATTAAAAACATGAAAAAGAAAGCATAACAAAAATGGAAAAATTAACTTGTAAATTCTTAACTAAAGAAAACCTTCATTTATATACATATTTCCCTTTAGTATATTTCCCATGTGTATATTCATTTATTCAATGCCAGTTGAGCATACCATACATTGTATATACTTTTGAATTCTGATTTTGTCATTATATCCCTGTCTTTGCTATTGTAAATAGCACATCAAAGACTAATTTTTCTTTTTTTCTCTCTCTATTTATTTTTTTGCTTCCTCCAGTTGAACAAAGACTAATTTTTTAAAATTACATACTCATGTATCAGATATATTACAACTTATATTATGAATTTCTCACTTTTATTTAGTCTATGAGTTTTCAACATTATGAAAATACTATAACAAATCCTTATGTACATCTCTAGTTAGTTATTTAGAAAACATTACTAGACAGGAAATTGCTGAATCAAAAGGTATAGACATTTTAAGTCTCTTTGCAAAATTCTTCTCCAGTAAAGCTTAATCAAATAAAACTTGGGTTAAGAATGCTGATTTTGTTATAAACAAACCAATACGGGATTTTAAAAAATTTGTACAATATTTGCCACTTTAATAGACAAAACTCCTTTCTACCTCATTTACATTTCCATTTATTTGGTAAATGAGAGTGAACACTTTTTCCAGATATATGTAAAATTCCTATAAACCTTACTAAATCAGCAACCTACAAATTCATTTGTGCAGGTATTACATACATTGGTGGCAGAAGGATATTACAAGGATTACCTCTGTAAATAAATAATTCGTAAGAACTTTGAAACTCTCCTCACTTATATTTTTCTTATTCACTGAAACAAGAAACACAGGAGAGAGAGAAACAGTGTGATAGAGAAAGACAATGAGTTTAGTTTAGGTGCCGATAAATTTGAAGTGCCCATCGAGTCACTAGGTAGAGGTATCCAGTAGACTAGGGATATAGGGTCTAGAATATAAGACCCTATAGGTAAAAACAAGGGTAAACATAAAGGCAGTATTACTGTATTTTTGGCTTGTGACTCCTCTTTTTGTTTCCTATGTAATTTAACATACCAATGCCTAAAACAATAATTATAAATCCATGCTAATAGGGAAACAATGTATAAAGATGTAATTTGTAACAATAAAAACATAAAGGAGGAATGGAGCATATGTTATTAAAGAAAAGTTGATATCAATTCAAACTCAATTGTTATAAATGTAGGATGTGAGGCTGGGCACGGTGGCTCACGCCTCTAATCCCAGCACTTTGGAAGGCCAAGGCAGGTGGATCACGAGGTCACGAGTTAGAGACCAGTCTGGCCAAGATGGTGAAACCCCATCTCTTCTAAAAATACAAAAATTGCTGGGCATGGTGGCAGGCACCTGTAATCCTAGCTACTTGGAAGGCTAAGACAGGAGAATCGCTTGAACCCGGGAGGCAGAATTTGCAGTGAGCAGAGCTTGAGTCACTGCACTCTAGCCTGGGTGACAGAGCAAGGCTCCTCTCAAAAAAAAAAAAAAGAAAGAAAGTAGAATGTGAATTATAATTCCCTTGATAATCACCGAGAATATAACTAAAAAATACACACAAAAGGAAATGTGGAGTAAATTAAAATGATACACTAAAAAAAATCATCAAACACAAAAGAAGAGGGTACTGAAAACACTGCATGACATAAAACAAATACCACCTATAGGGAAAAAAGTAGCCAATGGCAGAAGTCCTTCCTTATCAGTAATCACCTTAAATGTAAATGGATTAAGATTACCAATTGAAAAAGACTGGTAAAAAGGATAAAGAAAAATATCCAACTATAAGATGTTATAAGAATCTCATTTTAGGCCGGGCATGGTGGCTCAGGCCTGTAATCCCAGCACTTTGGGAGGCCAAGGTGGGTGGATCTTGAGGTCAAGAGTTTGAGACCAGCCTGGCCAATGTGGTGAAACCCCACCTCTACTACAAATACAAAAATTAGCCAGGAATGGTGGTGCATGCCTGTAATCCCAGCTACTTAGGATGCCGAGGGAGGAGAATTGCTTGAACCTGGGAGTAGTGAGCTGAGATTGCACCATTGTACTCCAGGCTGGGCAACAGAGTGAGACTCTGTCTCAAACAAAAAAAGAATCTCACTTTAGATTCGAAGACACACAAATAGGTTAATAGTGAAAGAATAAAAAGATATTCTGTACAAACAGTAATTAAAAAAAGAGCTGGGTTGGCCATACTAACATTAGACAAAATAGACTTCAATAGCACAATAGTTGCTAAAGACCGAGAAAGATATTATATATTAACAAAAGAGTTAATTCTTCAAGAAAATGTACCAATAAGCACACAGAAATCAAGTAACAAGGTCTCAAAATGTATAAAGTAAGCATTCAAAGAATTGATGGAAGAAATAGTTCTATAATAATAGTTGGAGATTTCTATAGCACTTTTAAAAATAACTAGAACATCTAGACGAAAGACCAATAAAAAAATAGAGGACTTGAACAGTATAATCCAACTAGACCTAAAACACATTTATAGACTCCCCCACCAAGTCCAATACAAAAGGATACACATTCTTCTGGAATGCATATGGAACATTCTCCAGTATACACCATCTATTAGGCCACAAAACAAGTCTCAATAAATACATCTTCTCCAACCACAAGTCAATTACGGAAAGAAAACTGGAAAATTTAGAATTATGTGAAAATTAAACAACGTATTCTTAAACAGCTCAAAGATGAAAACAAGGAAAATTTAGAGATACTTTGAGATAAATGAAAATGAAAACACAACATACCAAAATATATAGGATGTAGGAAAAGCAGAACTCAGAAAGAAATTTATAGCAGTAAATGCCTATATTAAAAAAGAAAGATCTCAAATCAGCAATCTAATTTTACATCTTAAAAAAACTAGAAAAAGAGCAAATTAAACCCAAAGCCAACAGTAAAAGGAAATGATAAAGATTAGAGTTCAATGAAATAGAGAATAGGAAAAATAAAAAAGAAAATAAAAAATTGGTTCTTTCAAAAGATCAACAAAATTGACAAAACTTTAGCTACAATAAGAGAAAAATAGAGAAGGCACAAATAACTAAAAT